TTCCCTTCCAACACAGCAATAAGTATTTCATGGGCTGCTGTCGATAGAAGCTCAGTGGTGTTTTCTGTAATGGTGCTGGTTGTTAAGTTTCCCAAGCAATGAGTGTATGTCAAAGTGTTTGCATAAATCCACTGAAATGTGTCTCCAACTTTTTTAAATATACAAATTAAGCTTTTGAATCGGCATGGCTTGGAAGTTTCGTCAGACTCTACGTTTTCTTCGCTTTATTGTTCTCATGCCCTCATTTTTCTTGCTGTTATTTGTAATAGTTTGCAGTTGTGAACCTCTTTGCTTTCTGCTGTGTGTTGACTATCATGCAATGCATAACCCTTGTGAATTTACTTACTATCTTTTGTTTCTAGGTATGATGGTGATCAAATCTCTGGTGATAAGGAAAAGTTTGCAAGGTAGGCGTGTTCTGTAGAGCTCTTCTGCTGAGAGAAAAGAGGGGGATGGTCGTGTCCAAAAAACCTCAGTACGTGTGCCTTAGCTTAGAGAGCTGGTTATTTTGTTTCTAGGTGGGACGATGATCAAAGTACTGCTGACACAGAAAGGATGGCCAGGTAGGAAAAAGGAAAATCAAATACGGTTTGCCCCCATTTTTATTTTATATGATGCCTTTCTGACTGATCAAAAGTCAGGAGGGTTGGCTGATCCAAAAATGCTTGAAATCAGAAATACGAACCTTGTGGTACGGACCTACGTGGGTTTGGATCAGCTCCTGCAGTTTCCCAAAATTTAACGTCCCTCCAAAATTTCCATATAAAAACATTAGAAATGACAGAATTGGGACATCATTCTGTATACGTTTATGAATGCCAGGGTTCCTAGGGCAGACACTTTCGGAAGAGGAGGATAGCTCCTCTTTTAAGGGTTTAAATATGAACTAGTTTCAGGAAAGTTTCAGGCTTTTGTGTGCTTGAACGTTTTCATTGCCAATTGATTAACATACTATTACTTTTTAGCTTTTATGATCATAAATGAAATGGACTGTTGGATATTCTCCTTCGTCTCAGAAAATTTTGCAATCTCTGTTTACTCTTTATAGTGTTTGTTTTTAATGTTCAGAAGTATTAAAATACTTTAGTGGCAGACAACGGAATATGTATTTATAAATGTAAAATATATGTTGGGATATATGTGATCTTTGTCTCTCTCTCTTTTCTTGATCACCATTTCTCTGAAAATGCTGAACTTAGAGCAAGCTTTCATCATGTAAAACCACATTTTCCTTCCCCTTGTCCATGTTTATCTGCATGTATATGCTGACATGTACACACGTGTGCTCTTATGTACGTGTGCACTATCACACAAGCTGTTCTGCTTGTGTGTGTGTATATGGTCCAACTCCGAAGGCACTGTAATCTCCCGCATCTGTGTAGACCCGCACAAAGGCTGTTTATCAGCCATTTGAAATGGAAAGGTTCACTATTAAGGTGTAATAGATAGGTAAGTAGATAGTGACCTTAACCAAGGGACTGTGTAATTTACTGAACCACCATGGGCTATCATTGCAGGGACCTATAGCTGGATTTCTTCAGTATCGCTATAGTAAGCATAGGCATCAGTAGGAATAATAACTGTGCGTGTAGCCCTAACAAGTGATGTTTCTGGAGACAGTGCCTCATGCATATAACACCTATATGTGCAGGGGCAGGAAACACATTGTAAAGCAGGGCAAGCCCATGCATTCCTCTGTTTCAGGAAGCAGCATACTACAACTCGGATTCTTTCCTGCATTTTAAGAAAAGGCTCCATTCTTAAAAGTAGCCAAAAAGCGTGCCAAGCCTAGCTTCTACTTTCGTGATCAGTCTTCGTAACAGTCAGCTCCAAAGAATGTTGCAGTTTCTTTTAATGTTGTGTTATCGTGACGGTCAGTGCTGGTGGACTCTCCCAAGTGATCACCTTTCACATCTTGTTGGATCAGCCAGCGATCCCACAAGAAAGTGCCATGCACGGCTCATTGAAATCAGTGGAAGATGCTGCTTTGACATCTGAAGCATCATGTACCTGTTGTGTACTTGTATTTAGCTGCCACCTGACAGGTACAGTATGGGGAAAAATAAGTGCTAGGCACTGAAGTATTCTAGGTCCATTTGGACCATCTCAGATGTATATATTGGTGTAATTCCTTAACAGTGATCAGGCAATGGTGATTTACGGTATGGGAAAATTGAACTCCCAGATCTTCAGTTCTGAAAGATTTTGGTGACTGTCCATTTTGAGAATTCTCAAATTTGACTCACCGTCTCAGTCATTTGTTTGCTATAAAGGATGAGAACATTGGAGCTTAGCCCAAAGTGGGGCAGCATCAAGTACTTTCCTTGTTATTTCCCTGCTGTTCTAGGTTGTTCTCAAACATAAATTCGGATCTATGTCTGACAAGCCAGATGTTTACTTGCTGTCTTTCATACTCATTTTATTTATTTACTGGGTTTTTTTTGTATGTACTGTTATACCATATATGGTCCCAGTCCTGCAGTCTGATCCTGTAGGCATGTAATGTCTCCCTGCAGGGATGCGGAACGTTCCACGCAGCATTGTAGGACTGGAGATCTGTATTGTTATTGAGTGGGTTTTTCTGTAAGTGAGCACTGACACTTACTGCTGACCTGATCCAGCTATTAGTGAGAGGTTTCCTCTAAAAGAGACCTTTTATAAGCAGATCCAACACCTTGAGCAAAGACTGGAAGCTGTGAGATGCATCACAGCAAATTTGGGAGTTTGGCTGGAGTTGTCAGTTCGTCGCCTCTTTCTACTTCATTTTTTATCCTTAAACCAAAGGAGATTAATCTGGTTGAGAGATTAAGGCCAGAAGCCAGTAGCTAGAAATATGGGTTCTTTTCACAGCTATGGGCGAATCGTATTTATCCTTCTGTGGCCTGGATTTTCTGTCTATAAACTGAGGGATAATAGTGCTTAGCTTTGTAAAGCACTTTGCTCTCCTGGGGTGAAAACAGCAAAACAAGTGCCAAGTATTAGGATTTGTTACCTCCGATTGAAATACTTACACTGATCTTGTCTGCTTTTCTGTTGGTTTGGTGTTTCTTTAAATGTTCAGGGAGAATCATAGTGAAATTGAGAGACGCAGGAGAAATAAGATGACACAGTACATCACCGAACTGTCTGATATGGTACCCACTTGTAGCGCGTTGGCTCGTAAGCCTGACAAGCTGACAATTCTTCGGATGGCTGTTTCACACATGAAATCAATGAGGGGCACTGGAAACAAATCTACTGATGGAGCTTACAAGCCTTCGTTTCTTACAGAACAGGTAGATTTTTCGCAAGTATCTGTTTTCTCTGGTTTGTGGTCTTAAAAGATGTGAGGAAATGCTGAGAGGAGTGGAGTCTCAGCTTGATCCTTCACTAATGTGTAGTGACTGGTACAAGCTACATATCCAAGATGTGAATACAGACAATTTTTTGTGACTGTTTGGGCTTCATCTTAACTATATGACAAATCTTTCTCTCTGAAGCAGCAAAATGGGCGTTCTTATTGAGGTCTGTCTATCTGAAAAGCAAGTCACTTGCTGTCTCTCATCACTAGAAAGGAATTTTCACCTCCAGAACTGGGTTCTTCCATCCTAACAAAGATTCTCTAAAATAGGTAAAAATTAATCTGGAAAGACCTGCCTCTCCCTCCTAGGTTTAGAGGAAGGTTAAAACATTGTTTAGGCTCAATGCCTATGTTCCCGGCAGCTGAACTGGGCAGAGATGAATCCCATCTGTACTGGCTGAGGTATTTCTTTGGTTACATTTCTCATGGAAGAAGGAAGATGCACCCCATGCTCGAAGGAAAACTGTGTTTAACTGAGCGCACTGGAAATTCCTACCACCTTCATTGTTTTTGAAGTCCTATGGGTGTAATGTGCATTTTTGTGGTCTGAACGATTTAAGCACTTACACATGTAAGTTATGTCTAGAGGCAATACTTCTTTTTATTAGAGAAACAGCAGCTGCTGCTGACCCCTCCTGTTCATATCTCTATTTATTCTGGCTTTCCTGAAGTGTGTTTCTGGAGGGACTGTGCCATTCAGCTGGTTGTTGGTAGGGGACCCTAGTCACTTCTCATTGCAACTTTTTCGTTTTTATTGCACTTTGCTGAATGATAGGGTTTATCTTCATCTTTGTTAACAGTGTATGCAAAACAAGTCTCATTATCCTCTGTATAGTGCAGCCAGCTATGCAGTGAAGTTTTTTATTTAGTAAGGTTCAGAATTGATGTGCTTTCTCTACAATAAAGGGGCAGAAGTTGATGGTCTGTTAAGTGTTTCTTGAGATGAGTTATCCATTTCTTTAGCAGAATTTACCAGATTGTGATCCTCACCTTATCAGCTAATATCTGCCACTTGCTGTGCTGAGCTGTCTAACCTGGTATGGACTCAGATTGTCCAAAGCTCTCTGTCTGAGTTCCAGCTGCAGTACCTTAACAAGCTCTGGTGGTCACTGGAGCCACCAAGCCAAGGCTGATCGAGCTTGTTTCCCAGGAATTGGAGCGGTAGTTGTCATCCTTTCCCGTGAGAGGTTTTCAAGCTCTGTTAAGCAAAGGTAGCGTTTCTGTGTGATGCATGCAAACAGCTGTTTGCATGTGCGGTTCAAAGTACTGGGTGTCTAGACCCAGTGTCTGGAAGTAAGGGACAGAAATACCTTGCTTTAAAGGCCTTCGGTCCCCCTTCCAGTCCCCAGGTGGGGTCAGGGCTCTGGGTGCTGTATCTCAGGTGGATGTGTGGGTGTCTCAGGACAGAAGTACCCAGGATGATGAGCAGGGGACTTCTTGTAAAGAAAAGGCCGAAAACGGGTGTTCCAGACCCTTTGGATCTCTGAGGCTTCATATTCACAGGCTGGAAGAAGAAAGCAAGAAGTGATACAACCTTCTTGTGTAGTGGCGTGGGCCCCCTAATGGGAGGGGATTCCTGTCCTTGTTCCCATTATACTTTCTGCCTTTTATCCAGTGACTGTTTAATTTACAAACAGAGCTCATGCTGAGGGGGGGGAAAAAAACCCCACCAAACCAAAAAACCAAAGACTTGTTGGTTTCTCTCCAGTTAAATTATTCAGGATGTTTAATTAAGGGATGAGTTTGCCATATGAGTTATAGCTGTTCATTTCTTCTGTTTGTACTCTTAAATAACTTTTTTTTTCATGTTAGATGCCTATCACACAATGTGCAGTGAGTTTTAGTTACTTAATTTTCCTAAAGTGCACTGAGATCACCAGATGAAAGGCAATAAAGGAAAACAGTGCTGTTTGTTGTTAAGATCAGCAATTTATGGCTTGCTGCAAGTTTGGTTGTGTTGTATCAATACTACAGTGAAAATTTCTGCCTAGGTTGTGATCAGCTACTAAGATCGCAAGAAAACAATATTGTTTGGCAGTGACAGATGTGTTATTTAATTCCCTTTTCTGCTGGCATTCTAATAAAATCCTTTCTTTGGAAGGAACTGAAACATCTTATCCTGGAGGCTGCAGATGGGTTCCTGTTTGTAGTTGCAGCTGAGACAGGAAGAGTGATCTACGTATCAGATTCTGTGACTCCTGTGCTGAACCAGCCACAGTCTGAATGGTTTGGCAGCACTTTGTACGAACAGGTTCATCCAGACGACGTGGAAAAGCTGCGAGAGCAACTATGTACATCCGAAAACTCTATGACAGGTCAGATATATCTGATGTATGGTTCTGTGTGTTACGGATCCCTGCAGAGTTTTTCTGACATTCAAAATGCCTGGTTTACAAATCTGGTAAAAATGAAATTCAACAAGATTAAACTGCCTTTTTCTTGCAGACAGTGCAGTAATATAAATCTTCTTTTGCATGACTACATTTTGCTTTCTATTTGTTTGACTTCAGTCAAACCACCTTCACGTAGCTTTGCATTCAAACTTCTGGCTTGGGTAGATTTGGAATCTGGATTGTTTTTGGGCTTGGTCTGGAAATCTAGATTGTTTTCCTTTCGTCCTCAATGAACTTGTGACTTCTTTACAAATATGTGTTTCTTTAGGGCAGTGTTTATTTTGAAGGCAAAAATCGTACTGTAGACTTTTCCATTTTCATAAAAATTCCTTGCGGTTTGCTAACGGGAATCCTGGGGAAAAAAATCCAGCGTTTGGCAGCTGAAAATCTAGTGGATTTTAAACAGGAGACTTGCACCCGTAACAGTGGTGTAAGTTAGCTCTAAGTTGAATACCTATCAGTTTGCACATAAAACTAAACCGTATTCATATCGTCAGTATAACTCTGGCTTTTACAGTTATTCATGCTCAAGACTGCCAGTAGGAAACTACCCTTGTCTTTAGTAGGATACGTGTATGTTAGAGCTATGAGAATTAACTAAATCCTATTTTAACTCAAACTTGGAAAGGAGGAAACCCAACTTCTCTTTTTATTCTTCCACATAGTATGTTTATAGCTAAAGGAGCAAAGCTAGGGGAAAATATTTATAACAAAATCCTGATCCATGCAAAAGTCGCATAATTTCTCCTTGCTTTAATAATTCAGAATTCTGACCTGGTTTGCTGGAAGTTTTGTTGTGTTTCATAACTCCAAGGACAGTGATCCAGTTTTGAGTGAACCTGCACACTGTTTACAGCTTCCATGTCAAAACAGTGCCAAATTCATGATTTCCTGTGGTTTGAATGTGATGTGGTTTTGGCAGAGCTTTCCTGTATTCAAATTGGAAACTCAAAGCAAAATTCTGTGGTGAAAATCCAGATGGATCGAAACCAAGTGAACAGTTAGAGGAACCTGTGCAGAGCAAAACAGCTGAGTACCATACCACGAGACTTGCAAAAGAGCACAACCTCTGTTTTTATTATGTAGCATGTAATACATTTTAACGTACATACCATCTTCCTCCAAGAAGCAATTACTCCAGAGCCTTAGTGAACAGTCATGTTTCGACTTCCAAAAGTGCTCAGTTATGGGGCTTAACCTGCTCAAACTAGAGCAGGACTAGACAAACGCAGAGCACTTCTGAAAACCAACTCTGTATTTTTTCCAGTTTTAACTATGTGCTTTCTGTAGCCAGTGGAAATAGAAGTTCAAATAATAGTATTTATAGGGCTAAATCTTTTCCCTGCCTGAGTGTTTTGGAGTTGTCAGATTGACACAGAAGGCTCGTAAATCTGCTGTACATGGACAGCTGAACATTTCCCAGTGTGAGGAAAGCATCAGCCTGTTTAGAGCCGGGGTAGCTTGCTCTCTTTAAGGTGCACTCTTTAAGGTGCAGAGGCAGGCTGGATGTAGAAGGGTGCTTTTTAGGGACTGGCGAGTGCGTATGTAGTTAAAACTGTTCCAAGCAAGTGCAAGTAAGAACAGTGCATAATTGGTCCTAACTATATGGGGCACATTGTGCGAGTTTTCTTTTACAAAGGTATTGTGGTTACATGTACAGTGCAATTTTTTTGGCTGGCTGAACATCTCACAAGCCGTAAACACAATCATCAGTCTGCTTCTGAATCAAGCATAGACATATAGTTGTATGTACATCATCTCTCATAAGATCATCATAGAACAGATTTTTAAGGTGTCTGCTGCATTTTTCTAGTTTTTTAATAGAATTAGTGTAAAGCAAGTGACATCATAATATAGTCCTGCTTTTTGAGTAGTTGAGTTTTAAAGATGTGACTGGTGAAGTACATTTCGTTAGTATACTAGTAGTTTTGTCAGTCTGAGGAGCATATAGATAAACAGAAAGCTCTAGATTTGTTATATTAAACTTGTATTTCCTTGACCTTGTAAGGCACCATTAAATAAGAGAAGCAGTCTTGTATAAGGACCATCAGTCCAGCATCAATTTGCTTATAAACAGCATGCAGCAGGACTTCAGCAGCATCACTCTCGCTCATTTGACATACCTTTCTGGGAGCAAGGTGATTCTAGAATCTGTTCAACCAGTTACACTTTCCTTCCTGTAACGCAAGCCATATTGAGAGTAGCAGCTTTGTAACAGGTAGGGACGAAATGAAATATTGCGGTGAACAGAAATGGGTGCCTTAATGACATTTTAAAAGAAGTCAAGTAGGCAAATGCACTTCCTTTAAGTCAGTGTTTATCAAACCATTTGGGCAGCACCCAGGTGTCTCTTGGCTTTCCAAAGTTTTGTTTCATGCAGAACAAAGGGCAATGCAGAGCTTGAAAGAGATGCAAACTGCAAGCCAGCCAGCTGCGTTTGACTTTTTTCCTGTTTAAAGTAAAGTTCACCGCACGCGGCAGGAAAATCCTCATCTTTTAGTGACCTCTGGCTGTTGAGCACAGGATCTGCTTAGGGAAAAGAAGAGATTTGAAGGTGAAAGTGTAACGAAATATTACGATTTTTAATTTTGCTCTCTTTCTCATCTTCTCAGGGTCCCTTTTCTCAACCCTTTAACCTCCTCCTTTAGCCCTTGAACTGGGGAAGCAATGACAGCATCTTGACAAAGGAGAAACTTCACTTGCCTTGCATCAGATCAGAGCAATGTCCTTTCATTGTATTTGTTTGTCCTCTTACAAGCACTGATCATTACCACTGCGTTGCTGGGGTTTTCCCAGCACCTCTTAGCAATCCTGCTACCCAGAGAAGCTGCTCTGGACCCTGAGGACTTGGGAGGCTGCCACTGCCAAAGGGAAGCGACAGAGAACAAGTCGGTGGAGAAAGCAGGCTCCCTCTCACATTTCTGCCCCCAGGAATAAGACTCGGACTGAGGCTGTGGTTGCGTGAGTGTTTCTTTGGCAGTCACACCAGCTTATGCAATCCTCACCTCATCTCACCCTCTCCTTCTCTGGCATTTATGTGGTACTACAATGAGTCACCTCAAGGGGGCTGAGCCAGCCGAAGGCTAAGCTAAGCAAAAAAACCTTGGTTTTGGTAGAGACAGTTCTTTGGCCCACCTTATCATAGGGTTGCTTGAACTCCAAGGAGAAGCGGGGAGTGAATAGTTAAGAGTAAGGAGAGGACAGGACTTCAGGAGCAGTAAAAGCATATGCCAAATTGAAGTGGCTGTTTAAGTATGACCTAAACCACGTAGTGTGTTTGGGGAGTTAATTGCTTGCTCTATTTTTAACTCTCAGGATATGGGGAAGGATGGATAGTTTCTATTCCATTTTATATCCTTGGAGATTTTATTCCCTGGAAATGGAACAATTGTCTGCTTGTTTATTGTACATTAATTGCTAACACATTGTAGCAACAGGAAAGCTGAACTGTGAAGTATATGTACGGTTTGAAATGCTCTAGAAAAGACAGCAGCTGAGACTTGATGATAGCAACAAATAGTGCTCCCAAGAAGTCTTTACATGCGTCATGGGCATGATTAATCAGAATGGGGCAGATATCCAGAGTAATAATTTATTTTCCCTCTTTGTTCTTGGAAATCTGCAGAAGGGAAAACAAATCACTTCAAATATGGATGAAGATAAGATCCCACAGTAGGATCCATTAGCAAAGACCTCTTTGCTCATAGGATGCACTGGTGAAACTTCATGGATGTTGGGGTTCAGATGCAGGTTCAGGGTTGGAAGTTGTGAAGGAATGACTAACATACAGCATGGTGGAATCCTAATGCAAGCGAGAGCCTCTAAACAGCTGCAGACAACAAATCTCTGATGGCACAGACAACAGACAGAACTTATCTAAGTGCAAAGAAAAACAGCTTTTGAAGAATACTTTTGCTACGTTTACTCTCCAAAAAAAGACTGAGCAAGTATTGTAGTAGACTGTCCTTCCGTTAAAATATAGTGTTCCAGAACACTTTGCCAGACTGATTTCTACCAGCCTAATTCTCTGTAAGCAGTTCATGAAAGAGTAGAATGAGGAATATAGGTACCTCTGTATGGTTGCCTGGAAATACTCCAAGTGATTCCATGATGTGTCTGAGATATGCTTGTCAAGGCTGTGAGGTCCCTGTTCCTGCAGCCAGCATCTCCAGTGGTGCAAATGGGAAACACCCAAGTTTATTATATTCAATTCTGAGCTCCAAGCAGCACAGCACGTAGTAATCTAGCTATAACCTCTTCCTTCAGCCTCACTCTCTATAGCTAAGGCGAGGCAGGGAGCAGCATATGTAATCCCATCTGTGGCACAAAGCCTCCTCAGGCTGTTCAGATTCAGAAGGAGTCCTTCCAAACTGTTTTAGCTGAGCAGTTAAGGGGCGCTGAAATTGCGGACCTGTGACTGCAAGAAAATGATGAGAACCAGAACCTCTATAGCTTTCATTTTCAAGTGATTTTAAAATGACTAAGTCAATTTACTTGCTAGCTGAAAAAGAGTAATTGAGGTTACTTCTGGACAGAACTTGTATGCCAAGTTTGATCTTGGCATGATATTTTATTGCAAAATTTTATAAGTACAAAAAAGTAGAACTTTATGGTGGAAATGGTGACTGACCACAGCAAAAGTTGAGTGATAGGTATGTTTTTAGAAGAAAAGACCATTGTGTGACAATTCACTGCGGTTCATTAATATTATGGAAACATCACTCCATGTTACACAAGCAGAGATTTGGATTGGGGAACCTGTCTCGCGCAACCTTCAAATAATGTGTTGTCTTGCAATGATGGTTTCAGCATATGCAGTTTTCTGTCCAACCACAAAGCTTTCTGTTACCAAGCACAGTTTGTAGACACAGCCACAAAATCCAGATGCTGTAGATAGAGCCAAATTGTCTGTAAAAATGAGA